TCTGGCTTTTCTTAATGTCTTATCATGAGGAAAGCCCATGCCAGGGGTTAATTCTTCTGTCCACGAGGACAGAGGTTGAGAAGTCAGCTGCTGTTATTCCATGGTCTTAATATAGAACAAAAGAGTAGTATTTTGTCCCAGATTTAACAGCTGGGGAAATAAAACTCCTTTGGATGGCAGGAGGTGCTGTCACGTACAAAAGGACAGTTCAGGATATCTGCCTGTTTTACAGTCATGGAAATGCATTTAAATCACAGCTACAGTGCCCTCAGATGGGAATGTAGAGCCTGAGTGAATTATTGATTGTTTTTCACATTTGATAAGGAAGTCAGGAGAGAAATGATGTCTAATGTACAGAAATAGGGTAGAAGCCTCCCATGGGTTGTAACAGAAGAGCAAGCATGTGAAGGTCTCAAAATAGCCACAGCTTTCACTTCTGGAGGTACAAAAGGCCATGAATTAGTGAAATACTTCAGGTGGGGATCCAGGGGGGTGGGTCTGGTCCATGCCCCACGGATTTTTTCCCTGTTTTCTCTCAGTGTATGTGCTAAGTGCCCATAAGCCGCCTTCTTTTATCTCCTTGGGCAAACGTGGGAAGAAAATGTTCCAATTTAACACGAAAATCTCAGACACCATTTAAAGGTTGAGGTGTTCTCCGATCCTCCCTTCCCCAGTCTCCGGGGAGACCGTTCCCATGCCATCCTGCATTTATACATCCCCGCAGGGATAATTTCCCTGATCCAAGGGGCCGCTCGGAGGATTTGCTGGAAAAGCTTTTTTTAAACCACAGAGAGGGGTTTCAAATCTTCGGCGGTGGCTTTGTGGGAGCGTGACTGAATTGTTTCCAGCCCTGAGCTCCTCACCTGTCTGGGCCGTGCGTGCGGCTGACAGACAGATGGACGGACAGCCCGTGCTCTGTGTGAGAATGCAAACAGCTGAGCCAAGGCTTAATCCTCCCCCCAGCCCTGACGTTTTTATTCATGCCTGCACCTGGCAGGAGCAGCAATCATTCATGGCTGTGGCCTCGGAAACAGCTGTAGATAAACACTGGAGCTAAATTTAAAAGGGGTGCTGCAGACATGGGGGGGAGGTAAATGAACAAAATCATTCGCTAGCCCATCACAGACCAATTTTAAAGAGAAAAGAGGTTTTTAAGAACGTCAGTTTAGGCTCGCAGTGAGCATGGCAGGTCTCTTGTGCTGAATGCAATGATGGTTGTGCAGAAACATTTGCAGAACTGGGGCACAGAGACCTGAGAGTGTGACTGACTGAGGGCGGGTCAGGGCTGTGGCCATGAGCACACGCAGCTCCAGCACCCTGGGACCAGCTGGCTCGGGAATGGGTTCAGGCTTCAGCAGGAGCTGTGCAGGGCTGCCTGGCAAACAGCAGGAGGACAGACAGTTGCTGTGGCAGTTCTCTCATCCTCTGTGCGGGGGGATGTGGCTGAGGAGCCTCTGCAGGGGCTGTGTCGTGCCCGGTGCTGCGGCTGAGACGTGCCCTCAGCACAGACTGAGCTGCAAATCCTTTCCCGGCGCAGGAATAGCTGTGGTTTATCCCAGCAGAGCAATTCCCAACCTGGATCTGGCCGTACACTCTCCCTGGCCCCCTGCAGAACAAACCAGGCTAAACCAGAAGAGCAGATTGATGCCAGGGCCGCATTTCCTGCAGCCTCTTTTAGCAGGAGCCTGTGAGTGCACTCAGGAGGAACCTGGCTGTCCTGGCAGAAGGCTGCACTGTGGAAATTGCTGTTTTCCATGGAGCAGGAAAATCTATTCATTATATAAGAGAAAGGCTATGTCATCTGATTCTGTCTTCAAAAAGAAGCAATTTTCAAGAAGCGGAGCAAAATTTGAAATGAAACTTGTCAATTTGTAAATGTTTGGTAGCAAAGGCACTGTAAGACAGCAGATGGAGCTGTGAAAGGGGGTTTGGTTCTTTTCTGTCTACCACCTCCTTTCTCCAGCACTCTTCCTCTGTTTTAAGAATAACACTCCCTCAAAAATGACTCACAGCCAGTGCCACAAAAATCCTGGCTGTCAGAGAAACTGCTGCTTGTCTGACAGGAGTGCAGGGAACGTTGGTTTGTTCTGTCTCTGCTGAAATCACAGCTCGGGGATGGTTCTTCTAGAAAGTGGCCCTACTTAGAGATTCCAGGCACAAGGCAATTATGTCTTCCCTTGCTCAGTGTAATTAATAAATGTGGTTTTCTTCCTGGGCACCAAGGGATGCCATGTTCATCATGGAATGGACCATATTGTCCAGAGCAAGGAGATGAAAATTCCCTAGGAAGTCAGAGCTCTCCTCTGGGAAGGTGGATAAACCCATGGGTGTACCAGTAGGGACTGGAATATTCCCCATATCCTGCTAGATCTCTGCTAATCAGAAAAGAAAAGATATCCTCTGCTCAGAAGGGAATAAAGACATCCTCAGGGATAATCCGGGAGAAGCAGCTGGCAGAGCTACAGCCCTCTATCACCCCATGGAATTTGCAGTTCTGTTGGAAGCAGAACCTTAGGAAAAGAGCCGTTTCAGACTTCCTGGCTGCCTGAGGGTGATGGTGCTGCCCTGTGTGATGGAGTTACTGCCAGAGCAGCTGCATGGGTAGAAACACCTTTTTTCAGTTATTGGAGCAGGGAATTGTGCTGGGATTCCTGGGTCCTTCCCCCAGCTCTGCCTTTGATTTGTGGTGTGTGCAGACCCCTTAATTTGTTTCTGTTCTCCCCATCTGTGAAACTGAGATAAGATCACAGGGGAATTGTAAAGTGGGATTCATTAATGTTTATTAGGCAGAGGGAGATCCTTCAATGAATGGCCCTGTATTCCGGGAGGACAAAGTTCAAGACTGCAAAGAGGCTGATTAAATCCAAATCTGCTATTTCCAGACTAGGAGGACAAAAAAAGAGAATGGAAAAACCTTACCTAGTCCTATGTCTGCCAAAAGCAGTATGTGATTTAAATAAAGTCAAGCAGACTGTGCAAATGTGAGCACATACATGCTTAAATATGAATCTACTGAAACCATTAAATATTTCTTAGTAAATGTACGCAAAGAAAATGTAATGAGGAGGTGTTTGAAGTTTCCAGTGTGTATATGATCACCATGGACCGTGAGTTACCAGTGGCAACATGGCATCATGAGGCAATAAATATGGTATTTCCCATAAAGGGATGTAACAACATCCAGGGAATTGGCACATTCCACTGTGTACCTGAGGGAACAGAGCTACGGGTTGGTTAAAGGAATCTCTCTTAGTTGTGGTGCTGTTTTGAAACAGTTACTGCAATGTTGTCTCTTCTCTGTAAGGAAGGGCAAGAAAACCAGCTTATCTGGGGGATTTTACAATGCCAGTTTGTTGACAGATGAAACAAATATTTATAGGTTAGACACAGCTGAAGGTGGCAACTTTTGGACCACCTTCCATCAGAGTGCATGTTCCCAGTGGGGAGATATTCGTCCCGTTGTGCCAGAGGTAAAAACTGATTTGTTGTAACCGGAGCCAGTGGGTGGCCTGAATTCACTCCTGGTGTGACAATAAATTTATTGTGTGATTCTTGTCACTGATAGAGCCTAATGGAGGGTGAAACAACATATCCAGGGCGTGTGAGGGAAGCAAACCCTGACAAAACACACCTCAAAAGCCGTGCTTTGGCGCAGACGGGGTTCAGTTGCAGCCACCACAGACGCTGGGAGCTGGACTGGGGCCGGTTTGTGTTCAGCGTTCAGCGCTTGCCACCTTCAGGCTTGATGTGAATCCACAGACGGTGCTGCAGAGGTGGCACCTTAATTCCTTAATCACACGGAGTTTTGGAGCTACTGCTGTCAGCAAAAATCGGGTTTGTTACCCGCTGTGCAACAAGCTCGAGAGAGACACTGGTTATTTATTTCAGAGCCAGGCGCTCGGTGGAATTCCACAAATCCAGCACCGCAGCTATTAATACTTTTCACTCTTTATACATTTTGGCAAACAAAGGAATTAGTGTTCATTGGCTGCAAGTTACACAGTTCTCCTGTTAATTAGTACTCTATCTTCTGTTGGTTAATGATTCTCGCTTCTCACACTAATTATTCTTATGCTCGGTCTCTCTTCTTTTGGGTCGGTGGGTTTCTTGGGTCAGTGGTTCCAGAACTGTTTTTTACCCAGCTGGAGCTGATTTCAGCACAGTTTCAGAGTTGCCTTGATTAGTCTCTTCCTCTCCTTGGGAGTTTTGCCAGATGTCCCATAAATTCCACATTCTTCGTGTCCACTATCAGTGGACATCCTTTTTTTTCCAAGCTTTGTTAACCCTGCCCTAGGTCTGAGGTCGTTGAAGCACGTCCAGCCCTAAACTTTAACAAGGCAATTCTAATTCTATCAACAAATTTGCAATACAAGACACCAAATACCACATTTTGCAATGCAACTCCAAAACTTTTACAGTGTCATCCGGGTTATCGTGACGGGCTGTATAAGCTCCAGAGGACTTTTTTAAAGAGAAATATTGCGTGGATTCCACTGAAACATTTAAATCTTAGCTTTGGAAGTGTAAGAACTGTGAAGAACAATTAGCACCGTTAGTGGAAGTGATTAAACAGCAACAGGAGAAATCGTTGACCGTAAGCAGCAGTTGGCACAGATTTCTCGCTTTTCACACAGAAGAGGAAAAACTTTGGTGTGAGGATGAAATCCTCTCCTGAGAGCGGCAGGATGTGTGTCTTTTAATCAGGATCGCTTAAACAGGACCTTAATTCGCGGGCTCAAGGGTCAAACTCTGCCAGAAAATACAGATGTATTTTCGGAGGTGGTGAAGCACCATAAATCCCACGGCAACAGTGGGTTGGGACTGGGTGAGCTTTAAGGTCCTTCCAGCCCTCAATATTCTGTGATTTTATGATTATATTTGTGATTTTATTTACGATTTAAGACACTGAGCCGAGGTGAAGCGCTGAGGGGAGGAGGGGGCGGGGCCTGAGTGGGCGTGGCCCGGGCGGCGCACGCGCGATGGGCGCGTAAACAGCGGCGGGTTCCGTGAGGGCCCCGGGGGTCGCTCCAGGTGAGGGGGGGCCGGCAGGTGAAGGAGGTCCCCAGGTTAGGGGGTCTCCAGGGGATCCCCCGCCCCCCCCGGGGACCCCCGCCATGGATAGCCCGGCCCTGCCCATCCGCCGCTCCCGCCGCGAGCTGGTGGAGGCCGTGAGAGAGCGGCCCTTCCTCATCGTCACCGGCGAGACGGGCAGCGGCAAGAGTACGCAGCTGCCCAGGTACCTCTTCGAGGCAGGTAACGGACACCCCCCCCCCCCGCGGGCCCCCGAGGGTGGGGTATGAGCAGGGATAAACGCGGATAGTCCTCCGTGTCCCCTCAGCTTCGGGCTGGGCTGTGCTGAGAGGAGGGTGATTGGACCCTTTAAATAAAAAAACCCCTGTTGCCACGTGTATGCTGTGTAGGTAGGGGTGTGCGAGCTGACTCGGAGCTGCACAGCTCACGGTGCCGATAACTCCAGGGTCGTGGTTCGATCCCTGTACGGGACATTCACTTAAGGGTTGGACTCGATGGTCCTCGTGGGTCCTTTCCAACTCAGAATATTCTGTATAACCTCAGTGTCCCAGTTCATCTCAGATCACTGGGGTTCTTTCAAGCTGGAGGAGGCCCTGGGGTGACCCTAATGCGGCCTTCCAGTACCTGAGAGGCTCCCAGAGAGCTGGAGGGAGACTTTGGACAAGGGTCTGGAGTGACAGGACAGGGGGAATGGCTTCCCACTGCCAGAGGGCAGGGTTAGATGGGATATTGGGAAGAAATTCTTCCCAGTGAGGGTGGTGAGGCCCTGGCACAGGTTGCCCAGAGAAGCTGTGGCTGCCCCTGTATCCCTGGAAGTGCCCAGGGGCAGGTTGGACGGGGCTTGGAGCAACCTGGGCTAGTGGAAGGCGTCCCTGCCCATGGCAGAAGGGTTGACACGAGATGATCTTTAAGGTCCATTGCAACCCAGACCATCGTGTGACTCTGTGCTCTCCGCAGGCCTGGCCAAGCACGGGGCCATCGGTGTCACCCAGCCCCGGCGCGTCGCCACCATGTCGGTGGCGCAGCGGGTGGCCGAGGAGATGGGCTGTGCCCTGGGCACTCTCGTGGGGTACCAGGTCCGCTTCGACGACTGCACCTCCGAGGTAGGGCCCTGGGGGCTGGCATCCTGTGGGAGCAGGGGGCTCAGTGGGCTCTGGCTCAGGGTTTTGCCCCTGGGCCTCTCCGTGGGGTGGCACAGCCCCAGTGCCTCTCTGGGGGCTTTGGTTGTGGAAGGTCTCAGAGCCTGCAGGAGCTGAAGTTGTTTGTGTTGTATAACTCATTTGGTGAAGTTTTTTGCATCATGTAAGTTATTTTGATGAAGTTTTTTGAACCCCTTGCAAGTGAAACGTTGCCGAGCACCTGTGGTGTGGTGCATGATGATCACCTGTGGTGCGGTCTGAGAGTGTGTCCTGGAAAAGATGTGATGATCTCAGTGTTTGCTTGACTTTGAAATGATAATCCGGGATAACAGCTGATTGTCTGATGAAACCTTTCAGGACACTGCCATCAGGTATATGACTGATGGCTGCCTGTTGAGGCAAATCCTGACAGATCCCCTCCTCAGCAAGTACAGCATCATCATTTTGGATGAAGCCCATGAGCGCAGCCTCAGCACTGTGAGTGTCACCTTATTTCTGTCCTTTGGGGTCACTGTTTCTCCTTTTCTGTGGTCTGCTTATACCTTCCTTTCACTTCTGCACAATCCCCAGGGATTTTGACTGCCTTTTGCTGTCCTAAGACCATAGAACTTTATTACAGGCTCAATAATCTGAAAATAAGATGTGACCTGTAGTCCTGTTGCAATTGGCATAGCTGTTGTTGTGTTTGAAAGCATTCCAGCAGCTTTCCTGGCTGTTGGATGCTCTCCCAACATTTCCAGGAGTTTGAAACCAGCACAACACAAACAAAGCCAGTGAACACAAACTTTCTAGAATCTTTATTTTTCCACTCACTAACAACACCCTGAAGCATCTTTCTTGCTCTAGTGTTTCTAAGGGTGTGTTCACAACTGTGCAAAGAGATTGTGGCTTTTAGGACCATGGAAGTGTCAAGACTGACCTAAGTCCCAAAAGCTCTCAGAAGTCACCCTGACCCTTCTGTGGGCAGCACAGGGACACTCAGGTCACTCAGTCCTCAAGAGATTGTGTTGTGTGTCAGACAATCTGCTGCTCCAGCAAACAACCTGCCAGCCCAGCTGTGGAAAGGGGAAAATGTTCTCTGAATCCCAGTTCTGCCCTCAAGCATCTGAGGGTATGGCACATAAACTGAGTGAGGTGATTTAAGAAGTTACTGCTCCATCACCTGTGTCCCTGTAAGGAGCAGGTTTTTAATCCAGAGCACCCCAGAGTAAAATAAACTTGCTGAAATCATCACAATAAGTGATGAAACAAAGGAGGGTGCACACACAGTCAGGTGATATGCTGAAAAGTGGGGTGAAAAATGGGTCTGAGGTGACTGCTGGCAAATGACTTGACCACGAGAGTATAAAAATGAAAAACAAAGGAATTTAAGGTATACTGGTTCTGTCTGTGGGCTGTGAGAAGAGCAGATAAAAAACTAAATTCTAGAAACCAATTAGTGTGCTTACAAAATGACCAGGGTAAAAGATATGTTTTCTTCTGAGTGCTTAGGCCTGGAATATGGGATTTTCATTGGCAAAAACCGGTCCCTTCCAAGTGCTTCAGGCACTTCTAGTAAAGCTGGGGTATTAACATCAGTTGCTTCTGTTTTTTCTCTCAGGATATCTTATTTGGTTTGCTGAAGAAACTCTTTCTACAGAAGAAACCCCCGGACAGGAAGACGGAGATGAAGGTGGTGGTGATGTCGGCCACCCTGGAGGTGGACAAGCTCTCCGAGTTCTTTGGACACTGCTCAGTGCTGCACATTCCAGGGAGGAGTTACCCTGTCAAGGAGATATTCTGCAACCTGCTGAGCCCCAGGGACGTGGGCAGCTCTGCCTATGTCACAGAGGTCTGGTGGCTTTGTTTTCTGGGCGTGTTCTCTGGTTTTGGTGTGATTTAATCTGGGACAGACCACAGGAATCAGCTGCTGGATTGTGTATCTGAGCATCCCTGCAGGAAATAGGGAAGAATTAATTAGTATGATGAGTTTGAGAAAGGTTGCAGCTGTTATTGGCTTGTCTGTTGTTTGTTCCAGGCTGTGAAAGTCACGCTGGATGTCCACCTGAATGAACCAGAAGGGGACATCTTGGTCTTCCTGACAGGTGCGAATTTTTCCTTCCACCACCCATGGTTATTCCAGGTTATTCCATGGCACTGCCAGCAAAACAGACTGTCTGCTTTGTCCCAGAACAGTGAGTGGAGAAGGGAAAAGTGGGGGTTGATGCACACAGTGATCATTTTCAGAGCATTTTAGGAATATCTGTACCCCTGAGGCCAGATAAGAAAATCACTAACTTGAAAATTTGCATATTCTCTTCCCTTCTTGTGCCAGATTGACTCTGTGTTGTCTGCATGTTTTATTTTGTTGTTAATTCAGGAAGGGGGAATTACATCAATGTATAGGCCAGGCCCTTAGGCACTCATCCTTTCAGGAACAGCCTTGGTGAGAGGCACTGTGGAAAGGCTGGATGTCACCTCCTAAACTTAACTCTCATTACGCCCTTCTTTTAATGGTGTTGACAGCTCTGTAATATTGACAAACCAATCTTGTTTAAAGATGTTGCAAACTAGGAAGGCAGAGTCGTGACTACTTCAGTGCTCTTCTATGTCTTTTAGGTCAAATTGAGATAGAAAAAGCCTGTGACTTGCTCTTCAAGAAAGCAGAGTCTATTGATTACCGCTACGAGGTGCACGATCAGGCCGTGGAGGGATTGCTTATCCTACCTCTGTATGGCTCAATGTCAACAGGTAAGAGCTTATGATGTCACAGGGAGCTTAGTTCACACCAATGTGAACTGCAAGAGTTGTTACAAACAGCATCCTCATCAAATCTTTCTGAAAAAATGCCGTTAATTAACCCATTTGTTACAATACTGTGGCACTACTGGGTTTTTTGGTGGTGTTCATAAACTAATTAAACTTCTCTGTGCTTGCACTGCAGCCTCCAGTTCAAATTCACATCCACTGGATGTGGCCTCACATGGCATCAGGATCCTGAGCTTAGGGAGGGGATGGTGTGGAACTGGAAGTTCAGGTGGCCTCACTCTTTGTTTTAGGTGGAAAAAACGTTGCCGGGAGGTTTTTGGTGCTGAGGGCAGAGCTGGAAGGGAAGATAGCAGTGGTGCAGTGTCACACAGTGTAGGAAGGTGCAGGTTATCAGAGGCAGGCACTCTGTTTTGTTTGGCAGCAGTACCACAGTTAGTTCCCAAGAGTTAAAACCAGAACCCTCTTGACCTTTGCTGTATTTTCAGGTGAATTTGAGGGCAGTGTTTGAATATGTGGGTGCAGTTTGGAGGCTGCCAAGGGGCTGAGTGAATGCTCAGAAGAGCAGAGCAGCAATTTCCCCCTAAAAGTGCTGCTGAGATCTTGTAAAGATCTGCAGAGGGAGCAAAACTGATCTTTTGGAAAGAGCAAAGTTGCATAAAAGAAAAGCATAGCTTCTTCCTTATTCCGTGACATTGATTCCTGACTGAGAGGGATATTTTATTTTATTTTTATTTTGTGGTAGTTCCTCAGAGGATGTTGTATTTCAGTATGTCTAAGTACACATTAGAAAATCTTCCTTAAAGAGATTTTTATATTTTTCAAAAATAGTAAGTGAGAAAATTTCAGGGGGAAGTTGAATTTCCACCTCTTTTTTTTGTTCCTTGGGAAGCCAAATGAATGGATGGGAGCTGCATGTGCTGCTTTGATACATGTTAAATGAAGATTTGCTGGAAACATGGGGGAGTTAATTAGTTTTTTTTTAATGTTCACATTCATTTGCTCTGGTGGTTAAAACCCTTCAAATCCTTCATGAAGATTCTGTTTAGACCAGACATCTTGTTTGTTTTCCTGGTTAGGAAACAACCAGGAGAGTTGGCCTTTTTCCAAATCTGGGATATTTGAACAGTAAAGAAAATATTATCTGATTTCTGGCATTTGCTAAAATAACACCAATTCCATGTTTTAGGATGTTGTGTGATTCACTTTCTAATGTCATTCAAGTGACTTTCACTCAGCATTTGAGTGAATTTGGTGGAAATCAGTGCTGTAACATAAACTGTTTGACTGACTCCCTGTCATTTCAGATCAACAGAAAAGGATATTTTTGCCAGCTCCTACGGGCATTAGAAAATGTGTGGTGTCCACAAACATTGCTGCAACATCTCTGACCATCGAAGGAGTCAGGTATTGTTTTGTGTCCTTCCTAAAAGCAGTGGCAGAGGGGATAATTCAGGATGTTCTGACTTCCTTCCATTTCTGTACCTGCCCTGTTGCCTTTTTCGTGTGTGTGATGAGAAAACCCTTAATACCATTATATAGTCTTAGAGATGACTGCTGGTTTTGGGCCCTAATTTGAAATCAAATCTTGGCTTCACTAAGTGACCCTGTGGTACCTGTCTGTGTGCTGAGAGCTCTGTCCTTTCCCTCTCTCAATCTTTTTGCCCAGGTACGTCGTAGACAGCGGGTTTGTGAAGCAGCTGAATCACAACCCCCGAGTTGGCTTGGACATACTGGAGGTGGTTCCCATTTCAAAGTAAGTTTTTAAACATGTCTTGGTGTTCCTGGGAGTTGCTGTGACAACACCATGTATTGGTGGATCTTTAAAAAAAAATAAGTAAATAAAAAGATGAGGAGCAGCCTCGAGGTTCTGTGATTTAAAGCCGTTTCGTTTGTTGCTACGTAGGAAGTGGTTCAGGATGTATGATTTTCTATAAGTTTCAGACATTAAGAATGAACTGACAGTGCATTCTCTGCAGCCTGAACAGGGGCTCACATGTCCTCTTGTGTTTGAATACAACAGCCTGATTCAGAGAAGCTTAAAAAAATCTTCCGTGCACAGAAACGCTGCTCCTGCCCGTCCTCGTCCAGCTGGAATTCTCAGCTGCTGCACAGTAAAATACCTTCTGCCTGCAAGCCCAGAAATTGTTGTTATTTGTCATAATCACCCCGTGGGTAATAACAGAAGGGATTGAGAGTTTGGATGTTGGTTTTTCTGGAAGGAGCGAGGCGAAGCAGCGAGCTGGCCGAGCCGGCAGGACCTCGTCCGGGAAGAGCTACCGGCTGTACAGCAGGGAGTTCTGGGAGCAGTGCATGCCTGACCACACCGTCCCAGAGATCAGGAGGACCAGCCTGACATCTGTCATCCTGACCTTGAAGTGCCTCTCCGTGCATGATGTCATCAGGTGACCTCTGGGCAGGGGATTATCCCCGTCTCCCCGAGTCTGGGCAGCGCGGCACCCAGAGCCTGTTGGCAGGAGGCAGGATTAGGTTCCCCAACCAACTGTGACACTTCAGTTCAATCAGCTTTTCTGCTGTTCTCCCCAGCCTGTAATTCCAGGTTGGATCTTGAGCTCAGGTTTGGGGTTCTGCCAAAACTGGCTCGCTCCAAAATTCAATATATAGTTTGTAGCATTCCTTTAAAATATTGATGTTTATGCCCCAAAAGCTTCATCTCTGCGGGATGGTTTCATTTTAAGATCATACAAGTGCAGAAAATACAGTTGAGCTTTGTGTGGGCCATGCTGGGATTTGTCATCAATCATAATTCCCCAGCTTGAGGCAGAACATGCAGTAACACACCCTTATGCTGCAGATGATTATGTGCACTTTGGTCAAAAACCTGTATTGGGAGGTGAAAGAAGTATTCTAATAAATATGAAAACTAACAAAGCTATTCTGGGTCTGAACAGATATTTTTTTTTTTACTTCATTTTTTTCTACAGATTTCCCTATTTGGACCCCCCTGAAGAAAGACATATTTTAGAAGCTCTCAAGGAACTTTACCAGTGCAGTGCTATTGACAGGTAAAAAATAAAGGGGTGCAGTCACTACAGGAATTTAATGGTTTAACTGGGGTCAGTGTTTGTTTGTGTGGACTAAAGGACTTCCCCAGCAGTAGAATATGTTTCCTCATTTAACTTCCAGGAAGTTACTACTGGGGTTTAATATAGGCTGTAAAATCAGGGTTAGAGCTGGGCTTGGGGATTGAGAGATACAGATCAATTTGTCCACATTGTCCTGGAGTTCCTGAGTGACCTCAGACAAATTACCTCAACCCAGTGCTGGAGCTCCTGATGGCAGATCCCAGACTGCTGTGACGGAGGAATTTGGGCTTTAGCTGTGAGGTCCATCCAAGAACTCAAGGCAGGAAGCAAGATCTTATCCTGAGCTTCCAGGAATTCTTCTTGCAGGAATTAAATAAAAGCTGGCTGTGCCTGGCATGGAGCAGGCACAGGCAAACTGGGGACACTTCTTCATGTCTCCAGCACCTGTCTGGGCACACACATCCAGAGGGAAATGCTTATTCCATGCCCTTCATCGGGATGTGGTGGCTGACTTAGGTGTGCATGCCCCCCTTTAACACTGAAACACGAATCTGGTGTTTCTGTCTTTTTTCCTGGGATAAGGAGAGGCCATGTGACAAGACTGGGAGAATTCCTGGTGCAGTTTCCCCTCCCTCCCAACCTGAGCTGTGCTGTCATAAAAGCTGCTTCCCTTGACTGTGAGGATCTCCTGCTTCCCATTGCAGCCATGCTGTCCGTGGAAAACGTCTTCATCCGGCCAGGTAGGAAGCCTCTTATCCCCAAAGCAGCCCCATATGTTTTTAAAGCTTTCCATGAGCTTGGAGTCAGGGCACATTGCATGCCAGGAATTGGACAACAGCTGTTCCAAAGGCTCCAGACCAGCATGGAATTGGGTTGCCTTTGTCCCAAGGCTGTGAGCTGGGAAGCAACGTTTGCGTAAGCAGGAGGATGCCGAGAGGTCATGAGGGGGAAGCTGTGTTACAGGAGGGGAGGGAGTGAAAAAAAAAACCCAGAAAAGCAAAATGCACCACAGCAGATGTTTTGCTGTTGGTCTGAGTACAGACAACAGGGACTGATTAATTTGTTTTTAATGAACGGGGTCACCTCTGGATTATCTTTCCTGTCAATAACTCTGTTTAACCAAACAGACCTTTTAAGTTACTGTGAGAAGCTCAGCTTGTCACTGCCTCGTTTCCAGTGTTTTTCTAAATGGAAAATACAGTTTTGCTGTGGTTCCAGGGTAGCACCTTTCGTAGTGCTAAACCCAGTCTCTCACATTCTCCTTTCCCCTCCTGTCTGTCCCCCTTTGTGCTACGTATATTTGTATATGTCCTGTCTTTGTGGGAGACCTTTGTCCTTCCCAGTCACTCCCTGGCTCTTGTCCAGTTATCCCTGTAGTCCATTAACTGTCCCTGTTAGCACAACAGCCCCAGACACTGCTGACACCACTGATAACCTGGAATCTGCTCCGGGGTCCTTCCCATTCCCACAACTGTCCCTGTGCTTTCCCATCCTCCCTCTGGCAACGTGCCCTTGTTCTCTGAGGCATTGGTAACTCTTCAGCAACCCTGAAGACTGGGAAGAACATGGAACTCCCACCCTGAAGGCACCTCAGGATGTGTAGGATCAGGCCTCCTTCATCCATGGTACCTTTAATACCCACAAACTTCTGCCATCCTCTGCAACAGCAGCACTGCAAAAAGTTGTGCCTCCCTCTCCTGAGGGGAAAAGGTTGTGCTGGAGAAGAAATTTCTCGGGGTATTCAAACCTTGAAATAACACTTTGGAAGTGTTGCTTTTGCCCAGCACATTCCTAGCACTTAGTGGAGGTGGATTCCCACTAAACTCACAGATGCACATGTTTTTCTAGACTCTTATTTAAGACCTCCACTGCTGTGGCCCTGGGACAAAAGCTGAGTTAAATAGATTAGATGGGGTGGTTTCAACAGCCTTGTTTTTTCTCTCTCAGGGTAAAACTTCCACTTGATCCTCGGGAGCTGTTTGTTTAAGGTCTCTGTTCCTTTATCTTTCCATGTCACCATCTGAGCTGATTGTGAGAGAGAAATATGTAGAACCTTTCCAAGAGAGCAGGATTCTTCATCTCTATTTGCTGACTGATGAGATTAATGACAGATTTAATAGCATCTACATGCTCCTGTTCAGCAGGAATGAAAGGAGGAAGAGCTGTAAATGCAGCTGTGGAGGAGAGACAAATCTAAAAATAACATGAATAAAGAGCCCAGGCTGCCAAACACACTTTGGAGAGATGCTAACAGGACATTAGGGAGTGCTACCTAAAAATGACTTTAAGTGAGATATAACTTACTTCCTCAGGTGATCCTCAGAAGCAAAAGGAGGCTGAGCTTCAACACCAGGAACTTTCCTCACAAGTGGGAGGATGCAATGACTTTGCAACCCTCTTAAATATTTTTGAACAGTGCAAAGCAAGGTATAAAATGATCCCTTACAGTAAGTGGTTTTGCATTGCTCATAAATCCCAGGTGCTGCCAGTCCTTAGATGTGCTGCACATACACGTGTGTCCTCGTGCCTAATTGCAGATTTATTCCTTCTTTGAGCTGTAATTTCTGTCACTATTTAAGCCAACAAAGTATCTGCTGTGTAGGTTGTTGCCTTTGTGTGACCATAACGAAAAGTCGAGGCAAGTTTCTGCCTTCAGCTTCCAAAGGGCTTCTTTATAATACAAATATTTCTGTTCTCAGCAAGTCTCCCTCAGCCTGGTGCCAGAGACACTGGATCCACTGGAGGGCTTTAAAATCTGCTTTTAGCGTGGAAAAACAGCTCCGGGAAATCACCAGTAAACTGAAAGAGGTAAAAAAATGTAATTTCTAGTTATGTTTGAGTTATGTAAGTTTATATTTCAGACATGTACTGGGCCACTGAGCCTTTGCCAGATGGCTGCTGCCTTCCTCATGTAGAAACTAATCCACTTAAATATTTTTGTAGAGCATCCTGGCTTGTGTAACTAACAGGTATGATGGTGGGAACAGGCAAAAAGGAGAGTTTTTCCCCTTTCCTCATGGTTTCTGTACAGTGAGAAACCCAGAGTTTAAAATCCATGGGGTGGAAGGGGGTGTAACTGCTTTTTCTTTAGGAAAGATCCTGATTTGTGTTGTTTTTCCTTTACACAGCTGCCAGACTTCCCCAAAGAAACTTTTGAAGGCTCCAGGACTGAAATACTGAGGAGGTGCCTGTGTGCAGGATACTTCATCAATGTAGCTCGGAGGTGAGGAAGGGAGTTTGGAGAACGGGATGGGAAAGATGTCACACACATTATTTATATATATATTTATATACAGAGGGCTGTGTGCTGGGAAAAGGAGTAACTGCAGCTGCAGGAGCTGTTTCTGTGCAGGGCTGGAAGCTTTGTAGGTCTCTGCTTTTCACTGTCATTACTATTCCAAGGATGTAAGAAACTTCCCCAGGAATGTCATTTTTCTATCTGTGGGATGAACTCCCAAGCTGATGGGTAGTTCCAGGCATTAAACTAAAGGGCTTGGAAATTTCCAGTAATCATGGCTGTCAAAGGCTCCACTCCCAAACCCTGTCCTTATTGTGTTGCTGTATCTGCAGTGCTGCTGTGGTAAATCAGATATGTTTTATTCCTCGTTGTTTTTTGGTTTTTTTTTACAATTTAATTCTGGAATCCCCTTTCTCTCCTTAGATATTGACTTTCTCTACTTAGATATTGACTTTCTCTACTTAGATATTTGACTTTTGGCTTTCTCTGTGTAGGTATTTGAGTATTTTGTCTATGCTGCAGCTGATTAGTTTAGTTCAGTCTTGCTGTCCGTGTTGCTGTCTGATCACAGCAAAGTGTGTTTCGTTATTTGTTTGTTTATTTATTTTTTCCCCAACCCTTTCAGATCTGCAGCCAGGACATTCTGCACAATGGACGGACATGGCAGCATTGTCTACATCCACCCCTCATCCACAGTGAGTTTCCAAAGTCTGTTGGTAAAGTAGCAAAGGATCTGTGACAGGAATAAGAGGCAGGTCCCACAAACTCTTCCTGGTGCTTGGTCTGGTGCGGTGTTCATTTGGAGAGTGGGGAAGAGCCTCTTCAAAATTCTCTTCAAAGAACTTCTTCAAATTTGGTGAATGTTTGGCTTATGATACGAGTGTAACACAGACTGAACTTTCTCTCTGGGCAGTTTTAAGCAAGTCATTCCACCTTAATTTCCCTGAAAATTAAGGATAATGTCACCTCGCATCTGAAGCGTTGAAAAACGCTCCAGTTGAAGGGGGCTCTCTGGAAGTAAAAAACTCTTTTCAATCAGCTCAGAAAGAATCTCTTTTGACTGATTTTCCAGCTGTACAACCAGGAGACTCTGCTGGAGTGGATCATCTTCCACGACGTCACCGTGACGTCCAAGATCTACGTGCGGACCGTGTGTCCCGTGCGCTACGAGTGGGTCAAGGACCTGCTGCCCAGGCTGCACCAGATCGATGCCTACGAGCTGAGCAGCGTGGCCAGGGAGGAGGTGACAGAGGAGGAAATAACCAGCTGGAAGCACAGGGAGGACCTGAAGAGGCAGTTGGGTGAGCACAGGGAGTCCGTGTCTATGGGGCAGCTTCTTGGTTGTGTGGACTCCTGTTATGTCACTGGGTTCAGTCTGGCCTGGAATGAATTTTTTCATGTTTACATGTTTGATGTGTGTGGTTCTGGCTGTTCTCTTTTCTCTGCAATCCTTGTTTTCTGTCTCTGCAGTGTGAATAGTGGTGTTTCCTTACTGGCTCTTGCCGAGGTCCTCCTTCCTAGAGCTCACAGGGGCAAAACTTTAACACAGAACTGGCTAAAAGCATTTTGAATCTGATTATTTTGAGTTATTATCTGATTATTTAAGTTTATAAAAGCTTAATTAGTGGAAGGAAAGGCTGCAGCATGAGCTGAATTATTATTTGACTGCAAGACAGAATAATTACAAATATTCTAATGGAATAGAATAGAAATATCCCAATAATTACAAATATTCTGATAAAGGGTTTCTAACCATAGATACCCAAATAAGACTGTCCTGAGAGAGAGAAGTCCTAAGGGTTATGGAGAGGAGGGGAGGGGAAAAAAAATCAACCCAAAAAACCTCACCCACCAAAAAACATGAAGGAAAAAGCGTCACATTTTGGTGAATGTCTCCTTCTGACAGTGAGTTTAATGCCATATGTTTCAATAGTTTTAATTAAGACTGGTGCCTGCTGACTGATCTGCTGCTTGACATTCTCTGAATTCTTCTGTCAGCAGGTCCCTAAAGCAGCCAAGTATTCCAAGGGCCTCTTTCCTCCCGAGCTGACCCTTCCAAAACATCCACTTTAATGTACAGCCCAGGCACTGGCAATATTGATTCTCTTCCATTTCCTTAAAATGGAGACTGCTGGGCTCAGAGAGTGTGCACTGTTGTATAAACCCACCATTTTAAATGATAAAAAACACATTTCATGTGGTTATAAATGGGATAGGAAAGGATATTTGCATTATTAGGTAATGCAGAGTAGCACCATCCAGCTGAAGTCCAAGGAGCTGAGGTTTGTTCTCCATGTCCCTCCTAACATTGTGACTTCACCAGGCCATTGTCAATTCATTTGAGATTAATATTGACCTAACAGATGTTGTATTTCTGGGAGCTTCATAAAAATAGGTGGCTAAATAGCTGAGAAAGGCTTAATTACTGGAAGGAAAGGCTGCAGCATGAGCTGAATTATTATGTGACTGCAAGACAGAATAATTACGAATATTCTAATAGAATTGAATAGAAATATCCCAATAATTACAAATATTCTAATGTTGATTAAAGCCTCAGGGACAGACTGCAGTAGCTGCTTCATTCACACAGCTTTTAGGCTCTCAGAGTCTTTGATTAATTTTTTATTATTGTTATTTTAAACTGAAAATATTTCTTGCTTTTCTTGCCTCCTGGGAGAAGCCCTGCCAAGGTCTCAGTGCTGGGGGAGAACCTGCATTCCTGATGGTGTCTGATCCCAATATTGGCTTTTCCCACTCCCTTATCTCCTTGTTGTCCAATCTCTTCCCTCTCCCTCTGGAAATTTTTCAGAGATGGTTTATTCTAAGCTTATTTCCTGTCCCTCTCCTGCCTAAACCTGAGTTGGAGATGTGTAATTTAGAGAGGAAATGGGTACATAGAACACGAGATGCACGTTCTGTGTTCCAATAAAACCCAAGGTACACGCTGGGGATGAGAAGAGCCCAGCTGCAAATACTGACATGGGACTTCAGGCAGGATTTTAGTTTTCATTTTTTCCCCTCCCTGCTGTGGTACAGTCTGTCCTCTCTGGAAGTCATTCAAATGCCTGCCTGGGACTTGAAATAAAAAAAAAAAAGAGATTCTGTTGGGTGTTTTTTGGGGTATTTTACCAACAGGAGGAATTGTAGTGCTGGGGATGGGGGGGGTGACACAAAAGAGTATATATTTTTTTTCTCTCCTCTTCTCCCCCCTAGAAGGAGCCACAGACAACTCTGCCAAGAAGATGGAGAGAAGGAATGATGATCAGTCCATCCTGGATGCCAGAGCCCGTTACCTGGAGAGGAAGCAGCAAAGAGCACAGGGTTTAGGTGGCCCAGTGAAAGAAACGGGGTAATTCTGGTGGCAGCTCCACTCCCATGCGAGGGAGGGGGGTTTGTGCAGCTCTGGGGATGTTTGCACGATGCAAAGTGACTCACAGGAATGGAGGGAAACTTCTGCTTTGTGGTTATTTCAGTGCAGAAGAGTAAAACACAACCTTCCTTTGCTGCGTCCAGCAGGGAAAAGTGACCAAGCTGAATTTTGTTGCTGCGTGTCACTGGCAACAGTTCACTGGCTGGAAGACTGTGGTGCCAATTCTGCAGCATTTAATTGACTTAAAAAGGTCTCAGTGTCAACAAAAATAAAATTTTCTTAAAGATTGGCTGTTTTTTTTATTTTTTTTTTTAAGGAGTGGAACTGTAAGTTTTTATCCATTTCACTCAGTATGATGGTTGTACAGCCTCAATGCTCATCCACTCCTCAGTTAAATGTGTAGGAAGGGCTCTTTTGATGATGGAACCATCAGGATTAAATCCAGAAGGACATTTGCCCCCTGCATTCCCTGCTGCACCACGTACAGGGATGGCTCTGGGTGAAGATGTCTTTGTGTGCCAAGTGTTCTGGCAGTGTTTCCACATTCCTGCTAACAATGCATCACTTTTGTCAGGGATGACTTAGCACTGTGGGTTTTCCTGCTGGCAAAGGAACCCACCCCAGCAGTGGATCCCTTATCCCCCAGGGCTGGCAGCAGGGCTGCTCCTAATGGGCTGTTTGTCTGGATTTGGGGACTGTTATTTTTAAAAGATATGGATTTTGATCTCAAGAATGACTGTTTCAAATGTGTGGGAAGAACACACGAGGAAATACAAGCTTTTGTCCTTAAGCTGTGATGCTTTGTCATCATAAAGTTTGTCTCCTTCTCAGTAAAGAAATAATCCTGTTTTATCACCTCAATAACCCTAAAATGTTCCAGTGTGGAGCTTGTACAAGACAATTTCCAAATAACTGGAGGAACATGCTGTCATTTTTTTCCCACCTCTGTGTGTCACCTTCTTGCTTTCCAGGTCACTTGTTAAAAGGGATGTGGTAAAATATTCACCATTCCCCCTCTGCTCCACCTTGAGCATTCCAGGCTGATCAAAAGCTCTCGGAAACCTTGGGATTCTTTGTGGGAAATATAATATTCCTCATAAAAAAAGTGGTAGATCTGATAATTGATCTGATAATTGTTCCTCTTTTCTGTAATTATGCCTATTAAAAGGGAAGAGATGGGGGAAAGATGGGGAGGGACTTTGGACAAGAGCTTGGAGTGACAGGGCGAGGGGAATGGCTTCAAACTGCCAGAGAGGAGGTTTAGGTTGGATATTGGAGAAAAATTCTTCCCTGGGAGGGTTTTTTTCACTCTGGTGCTCAGGCTCTGCTTTGGAGCAGGAGCACTTTTCCTTGACTCAACCTCTTTTGCTGTTTAATTTGATTCATGATATATTTGCAAGTCATGGCCACTCCTGAGTCAAAGGACATCTGCCCCACATGCTGGGTCTGAAATGAGCAGCTGGAATGGCTACTCTTTCTTGGGGCTGGAAATCTCTTGGCAGATCCTGCTGCTTTCTGGTTCCTTTTATTGTTTTCACTCTCTTAGTAGAAAAAAGGGAGGGGTTTTTGTTTTCCCACTTGTGTTTCAGGGCTGCTCAGAGAGTTGGAAATGGGGAATTTAAGACAAATTATGTGAGGAAATAACCGTGAGATTGCCAAATAAGGTGTAAGGAAAGCTGGGGTGCCCCAAGCACACCCAGCTCTGGGCAGAGCACTTGGAATGCTGCATCATCACAGAGAAACAGCTAAAACTTAACTCTTTTTGTGTGCTGGAGGTAAATTGTGAGTTAATAAACACGGGAGGAAAGTGGGAGTTTGATTGTGTTCCTGCACTCATTAACTGTGGGCCGTGGGAACAGCCCCAGGGACCATCCCGGGGTTTATGGATGGACAGGGACAGCGGGGACACCCTGGGGGGAGAACATCATATCCCGGTGCCAGGGACACCCCAGTCCCTTGGTGTGTCCCCCGGAGGGTGGATCCATCACATCCCAGTCACAGGGACACCCCTGTCCCTTCGGTGTCTCCCCAGGAGAATGGGATCTATCCCATCCCTCGGTGTCCCCAGGGGGGTGGATCCATCACGTCCAGGTGACAGGGGCACCCAAGGGAGCGGGGGATCCATCACATCCGGGTGACAGGGATATCCTAGGGGGGAATCCATGGACACCCCTGGTGACAGGGACACCGTGAGAGGGGGGATCCAAGGACACCCCCGAGTTGGGGGATTCATCACAGGGACAGGCCGGGTGACAGGGACACCCCACGTGGGGGTGGATCCATCACATCCCGGTGACAGGGACACCCGGAGGGGGGTGGGATTTATCGCATCCCAGTGTCAGGAACACCCCGGGTGACAGGGACACCCCAGAGAAGAGATCCAGGGACACCCCGAGGGGAAGTACCCATGCCCCCCCTTCCCGGTGTCAGGGACACCCCGGGGGGGTTATCCAGGTGTCCCCCCGGTGTCAGGGACACCCCGGGGGGGTTGGGGGTATCCAGGTGTCCCCCCGGTGTCCCCCCGGTGTCACCTTGTCCCGGCCGCGCCGCGCGGTCACGTGACCCGGCGCGGGGCGGTGTGCGCCGGGCGGAAGTGACGCCACCGGCCCCTCGGTCGCATGATGTGGCAAAAAAAAAAAGGCCGGGAAGGAGCCCTGAGTGATGCGTCCCCAAATAGTCCCTTCCGGCGGCGCATCACCCCGGCCACCCCACTGGCGCCGCGCGCCGGCGGATCCCTCCGCGCGCCCCCGGCGCGGCTGAGGCGGCTCGGGCGGGCGGCAGGTGCGCGTATCCTTCCGCCGTGGTATCCTTCCGCCGGCGGGGGCAGCCCTTCCGCACGGCCCCGCTCCGCCATCGCGGCCCCGCAGCGCCCGCAGCGCCGAGCCCGGCCCGGCACGGAGCCCCCGCCGCCACCATGGCACAGATCCTGCCTATCCGCTTCCAGGAGCACCTCCAGGTGGGCGCCGGCGCGGCCGCGCTGTTCTGTCCCCGCCGTGCCGAGAGGACGTACCCGGGCCCGCCCGCGGTGCCGCCGTGAGGGCTGGGGGGGGGCGCGGGGTGTTGGTGTCCGGGAGGGAAGCGCTGCCCAAAGGGCACCTTCCTGAGGGGCCGGGCCTGGCCTGCCGCCCTTGCCGGTGCCCCCCCGGGCTGGGCGAGGCCGGGAGGGAACGGGGAGCGCGGGTGGTTCCGCGGCGTGAGGGGAAATCCCGCCCCGGCTCCGGGTCTGCGAGGGACGGGGGCGAGCCGGGCAGGGCTGGGCTGCCTCCCTGCGCCGCTTCCCTCTAGATATATTAATAATCTTAACACCTATCCTTGTGAGGGCGTAGTAAGTGGTTCTCCCGGTGCTGTCTGGGTGTAATGTCACGTCCCGGAAGGGGAGCTGCAGTGAGTGCGGGAGCTGCCGCGGCTCCCGCAGTGCAGCGGGGGCAGTGCAGGTGCCCAGGTGCCCTCTCTCAAACCCAGGCTCTCGCTGCACCGCCCTCGCCACCGCGGTTATTTCCTTTCGCTTCCCTGACACGGCTCCCTGAAGGCAGCGGTAACACGTCCTAGATGTGCAGGAACTCGGGGCTGCCTTCCCGAGGAACGCACCTCCCGTGTCCGTGGGTGCAGCCGGAGCGCAGGGAGGGGTCTGGAGGTGCAGGTCCGGTTGTGCAATGGCCACTTCCCCTCTGGCAGGTCTATGGGGCGAAGTACTGCGAGCCACGGTTCTCCTGGCTGGGGCCGTGGGGTTAGTTAAGCTTGGTTTCACTGCTGGGGAGGGTTTTTTGTGTAATAAAAGCTACATTGGCACACCTGGCTTCTGTGCCCCTTCTGCCCCGTGGTTTCAGTGTCTGTGTTTAGTTTGTGTTTGTGTAACTGGGCACTGATGTACTGATGGATTTCCATCATTTGTAGTGACTTCTTTTCTTGACTCAAACAGAAAAATTTCAGTTCCTAGGCACCCTGCAAAATACTTATTTTGTGGTGTAAATTACCACTATCCATAGGGTTTAAAAAAATGGTGCCATGATTACTTTCTGTCTGAGTGACTGTTGAGTGTTGAGGAATTTTCCTTCAATACCAGGTGAGGAATTTTCCTTCAATACCAGGTGAGGAATTTTTCTTCCATATCAGTGGAAAAGCAGGCCAGAATTCCTAGCTGAGGTGTGCCTACACTCCTTAGTGAGCAGCACTGACAGGGGAATCCCAGAGCTTTGTCTCTGAGCAGTGCCTTGTCCTGGTGGTGGCACAGCCCAGACCCAGGTGCTGAGGTGGTTCTGTGTCCTCAGGTGAAACTCATCCCTCTGTGTGCCCAGCTCCTACTAAAGCATTGTGGAAATGCACCTCTGATATATTATTTAAGCCCCAAACCTTGCATGTGACCCACTGCCAGGTCTCTAATGACATGAGTCCTGTTACATAATGAAACTCATCTGCCTCATGCCAGGAGTGCTGGGAGGGTTCAGGCCAGCACTACTGTGGAACAGGACTGTTCTGCCCAAAGTCTGATTTATATGTTTAGTTGTGTTTTAATTTGCATTTTCTCTCCCTGCACCTCTTCACTGGTTGAACCAGTACCTTTTATAGCTGCACACGGAGCTGATCTCTCCTCAGGTGGGGTGTCCAGCCCTCTCAGCCTGGCTGCACGTGGCTCTTGCCCAGTTTGCTGCTCCTACCGAACTTCCTCATTTTATTTCATTGAGAAATTTTCAGAGGAATTTGAATTCTTGGAGTTCCTGTTTTTCCGCTGAAGCTTCTGACATAAATTTCGAGAGCAGAAACGCTGCTATTGCAGTGGGTTTGTTTTAGTGTATTCCAGGCTGCTCCTAGGGAATCCTCATGGGCTCAATAGTACAATTTCTTGAACTGTGCCTGACCTACATTGTCTAGGAAACTTGTCTTACAGGTGTTGGGCAACACTTGCAAGTTTGTAGCTGATGCTTTAATGCAAGGCAAGGCACCCACCCAGAGCCTTATTCATAAAAGGCAGGTGGTGAATGTGAATGAGGAAGATTTTGCAGGCTGTTGTTGAAATCTGATCTTGGCTGGTGATTTGGGAATGAAGAGTAAAGGCTCCAGAAGCCCTGAATACCTTGGGGGCACAGGACAGTGCTTTGTACCCCAAACTGGAGCTAAAGATCTACTTTGGGCAAGGGCCAAGTGAGCTTTCTGGGGAGTCTGAAACCAAAATGTGTTCTCAGGCTTCAGGTTTTGTTTGTTTGAGTCCCATCACATGCTCTGCAATCTCAGCTGTCCCAAATATGTAGGTTTTATCTGTGTGGTGTCTACTGTACATCCCTGCCCGGCCTCAAAACAACATGTTGTGAGAAACTTCCCTTGGGAGTTTTCAAGGAGAAACCTGGTTCCTGTGCTATCAAAACTCACGTTATAAAACTTTACAGTGCTACTTTTTTTTTTTTTTTCTTTTTGAAGTGGCTATGAGGAAACAATCCACTGTGCTTGTGGTGGGAGATCAGAGGTCAGTGTGTGAGATGATTGTAAATCTGGTTGCTCGTGTGCAGGTTTTAGGGATTCCTAAAATGTTCCCGTGAGTGCTTGAGGATGGAAGTAAAACACAGCTGCTTTCTGTGGTGGGTCAGTGGAGCTTTTCTGGGATTACAAGTTCCTGATGAGTGAGAAGGACCCAGATTAGATGGACTGGGATTGCCAGGTCATTTAGACACAAAATACCCCAAAATATATAAAAATTGAAGTTGGACCAGGCCCGCTGCTGTACTGAGTTAAGGCATTAATAAATATTCTTCTGCACCTAAATATTTAGAAAGAAATTTTTTAATTGTTCTGTAAGGCAGTACAGAGAACTGCCAGCTCAGGCTGTGTGCTTGATGCCAATACAGAACTGCTTTTTTTAAAACTAGGAAAAGGGTCCTTGTCTCTATTGTTCATTGATGGAGCAAACCTGAATGGCAGCTGTGCTGTCCTGGGGTGGTGGCACTTGGGTGGCTCTGGAGTCACAGCTGTGCCAGAGAATAAAACAGGACAGCCAAGGCATCATGGAATAAAATATATCAATTCAATACTTTAACAATGGCAAACAACAAAATATTTCCATGTATTGTGCTGACAGTGAGACAGTTTAATACAGCCTAAAACACTAAATCTCTGCTGTAACAGCATTAGTTTGGAGCAGTTACATCTCTGGTGGATACAAGTCAGGAATTAGAGGACTCTGCCTAATGCTGTTTGGGTGGGATTCTTGCTCTGCTTCTTAGTGGATCTGCATTCCTAAAGCCAGTGAGTTTAGAGTATTCCCACAGAGGGAAAATCTGTAACAAAGAATGGAAATGTCTTGAGGAGAGTGTGTGAGTGTGTGAGCTAATTGGATAGGAGCAATTAGTTAAGCAGTTTATGAGCTGTTCTGGGCATGGCCCTCCCAGCAGGCACTGCAGTGCACGGGCCTGCCCTGGTGGCTGCTCAGTGCCCTGTGCTGGCACTGGGGCCCCAACCACGGAGGAGGAGAGGGAGCCAGAGGTTCTGAGCTCCAGTGTCAGCAGCTACAGCCCCAGGGTGGTTTGGGACTCAAACAGTCACACAACACACCCTGGGGCTGTGAGAGGGGTGGCTGCCTGGGCCTGCTCAGGGGAGGCACAAAATAGGAAGGATATAGAAATAAAGAGCTCTTGAATGGCAGAGAGGTCCCTTATCTGTTGAAAACATGACTTCCTAGGCTGTCACACGCTGTAACTCTTACCTTGCACTGGGAAGAGTGATGGATTTGGAGCCAGGGGCTGGCCGTGGGACTCTTACACAACTGCACTACCAGAGCAGCATAGATGGGAATTTTTTGGTGTAACTTAAGTTTGCTTTTCTAAT